TTTAGGTTATGGGTTCCAAGATTGGCTCGATGGCTGTCGCCGATGCGGTTCTACGAGCAGCCGAGGTTACAAAGACACGTCGCTATCGCTCCGAGGGCAGCTCCGAGAAGTTCCTGCGAGGAGTTATTAGCGCGGAATTATTGTCATTGCGGCAGCCCTTTCACCGCTCATAGGCTATACACGGGGCGATAATGGAGGCCGGCGGGTGCGCGCCTGGTTCCTTCCAAGACTAAGGGCGTATTTTAACGGGCAGCTTTCACAATAGACCACCGTCGTTCTTGTATACGACTTCGCGGCTGTGGGAGATAAAGGTGCCGGTGTACGAATACATGAGCCGTACATTCGCACTCTTACTCGCCTCTGAGAGTGTATTGGACGTCCTATAGCGGTCCGCTTCCGTCTTGGACGCCCAATACATCGACGACGCCAGTTTAAGCGTCTCCTTGACGATTCATTAAATTCGCGCCGGCGATGCCGCGAACAATTTTTACGACGCGCGTATCTCGCGTGGTGTCGCGTTTAATTAATTCATAGCGCAGTCTCGCGTGTCGTTTGAGTCGTTGATGTTATATTCCTCGACAGATTTCTCAGCGAACTTAGACTGCCATTTTTGAGAGGACTCTATAACTTTCAGTGTGTATAAGATTGCAAGCTTTAAATATTTTATTGCAATACGAGGACACGTGTGTTTGTATATGAGATTGAGTGAAAAGCAAGATAGAATATTTGTGGATCTGTGATATCTGGAAACGTTGAAGCAACCATCGAGATTCTTTCTCTAACATTCCGCTGTCCGACTCGGAAAGATCACTCAATATCTCCGATATTTCTTACCGATATTAAATCGATCGATGAGAAAGTCCGTCAAAGGGTCTTCCTAGACAAAAATAAAGGCCTTCAATCTATCTGACGCTAAACACGAGCGTATTTTTCAGCCTGCGAATATCCATCGCCGTACTCAACATATATTCTCGATCGGGACGTAACCGACGAGCGCACCGACCGAATCTCGCGGCAACCCCCGTGCGATTATCTCTCCGACGTGATGCTTTCGAGGGCGCGCGTATATCCCTATTAATAAATGAGTCGAGAAAAGGAGAGAGAAAGAGAGAGAGAGAGAGGGAGAGGGGGTGGGGAAGGGGAAGGATCCCGGCGGTCCACGTAGGGTTATACCGCTTTTTCCGCATCTCCGACAGCGCGATGTGCTTGGAGTGCTCGCGCGGCCGCAGAAAAGAGAAAGGAAGACAGAGAGCACGGGGAGGGTACATGGAAGGGAAAATGTATCCGTGCCGCTAGTGGAACGAAATACGAATGCCGAGGAGGGTGATGCGCGGAGGGCGCCGAGGAGGAGAGGGTGGCCGATGTCTACCACAAAAGCCATTGTCCGCCACTTACTGAATTCGTCGAGCCTCCCTTCGCTTCCACCCTGCCGTATCCCTGCCGTGCGCACACAAACATACACACGCACATGCACACACACACACACACACACACACACACACACACACACACACGCACACGCACACATGTACACTCTCGCGCATATATACATACACACCGAGAGCTACGCGCGCAGTCCGATGTAAAACACTTCCCGTGAATTTTATTGCTCTACGTACCTTCTCGTATACCACCACGTGCACCGGCGCGGCACCTAACCTACACCCGACCAGGAACCGCCAGGACCACCCCCGCGTTTGCTTATACGCTCGGGCGTGAATCTGACCGCGGGAACATTCAGATGTACACGCACACACGCGGCAAACGTGCTCGCGAAGTTTGCACATACGGACGCACATGGACACACACACATACGTACACATATGTGGGGGCACACAGGGTTGTACCGCGCGTACGTCGTAGTTATTGCTTGTGTACACATAGAACGCGCGGCTGCACGTGTATTTACCAGCGGCGACGGTGGGTAGGCGGGCCCGCAGTTACAAATGTCACCGTAAAATTACTTTTTAATTATCGTCGAGAGGATTTCGCTTATTACGCGATATTCCGCCCCGCTTCTGAGACGACGGCGGCGGCGGCGGCGGCGGCAGGAATTCGCCCGAAATTTTCTATTTTGTTCGCGCCGCTGACCCTCGACCGTCGCCGGTTCGGGGTAGCGGCGCTTTTAATTTAGATAAGATTGCCCCTTTTATACGTCGCGAAGCATATAGAAAGTCTCACGTAGACCGTTATTGCCATTGCACATCGTGGCCGCGAATCGAAAGTAATTCTTAGCTGGGCGCGCGCTCGCGACCGCGTATCTGCGTTTTTATAATCGGGTCGGCTAACGCGGAGATTCATGAAGATAACGCGAGCAACGTCGTGTTACGTAAGATTTCGAACCGCACAAGCTAAGTTAATTAAACGCGTCCCGTGGGATATCCCTTCGCGTTCTGCGATCTTCAAGTATGACTTTCGTTTATCGTTCGCTGATAAATCCCGCTGATTGCGGTATCCTACGTGAACTTTGAGAGACACGGCGTCCCGTAAAAAGATCTGTTTGTCACCGCTTGCGGGTCCGACCGAGGTCTTTGAGGGAAACACGAATGAGAAGTTCGGCCAAGAAGTGGCCCTCTTTCGTCCGCCGAATATTATCTCGGCGACAGCGCGGGCGATTCGTTTGCTCGGCGGTAAATCCGCGAATTAAAGAACTTATTCCATTTGGGCAGCCAAAGGGGTGTGAACGCTTTCGCGTTCGTATTATCTCTCGCCCGTCGGAGACGGGGGGCGGGAGCGAGGGGGAGGAGAACGGGGCGAAAAGGGAAAGAGAGCGTAACCGGCAGGAAGGCGAGGACCGACGAAGGACGAGGGCTGGGAATGACCTGGCGAAAGGCGCGGGAGGAAGAGACAGAAAAGAGGGAGAAAGAGATAGCCGGCGAAAGGAGAGAGAGAGAGAGGGGGGGAGGGAGAGGGAGAGGGGAGAGAGAGAGAGAGAGAGAAAGAGAGAGAGAGAGAGAGAGAGAGAGAGAAAGAGAGAGAGAGACGGGGCGCGTTTAGACGTTCGTTCCGCTGGTAACAAAGATAACTCTATGCAATAAAAATGATTCAAAGTTTCCCGCGGCGGATGGCGGTTCCGATGGCGGAGCGGTTGACAATAGCGCGTCTTTGTCTCCGTCCCGCGCCACACCGCCGTCCCCTGACCCGCCGCCACTTTGCCCACCGTCGCCCTCGTCCGTATCCTGCGACACCTATCTTCCGGTTTAAAGTCCCGGCGTGCGCGCCAGAGAGGAACCTCGCTAACTTTTATTATTTACGACCGATATTTCAGCCGGGTCCGGGGCGCATGCACTCGGTAACGCGAGCGAGGAGCCAAGTGGCCGCCGCGCGGCTTGACGCGCCACGTCGGCGGTTGCGACGCTGTTCAACTGTGTGTGATATCGATGCCGTCCCCGTGGTGGGATCGGAAAATTACTCGATCCGTATCGCTATACTTCGTGAAAACGCCGGCGATCTTTGCTCGCAAACTTCTCGCGCGAATGCTTGTTTCGTCAGCCGCGTCTTGCGCTCGAAAAAGTCTCCTTGTGAGATCCGATAAGAACAATCTCGCAAGTTTCTCTGTTGATTCCTGCGCTCAATCGACGAATCGATTGCGGCCACGCGGACGTGACCACATGGCGTTACGCGTAAGGTGGTCGCGTTATTAAAACGACTGCCGAGTGAAATTAACCGAATACGAGGGGCTTATCGAATCAACGGGTGGGTGAACGAGCGACGATCGGCACCGAGAGACCATCGGACCCTCCGTCCGCACTTACCTCTTTTCTCCCCTCGTCCACCTCCTCGCGGGGGTACCTTTATCTACCTACCTATACGCACACGCGTACGCACGACCCTTTCCCGGCGAAGGGTCTGAATTTGCATTTTATTCGCAGCCGTGGAACCGCGCGGCTACGTCCGTGTGTGGGCAACGCTCCTCCGCGGCGCGGCGCGGACATTTATTTTAATTAAATTACTCCGGAGCGTCGAACAACCCATTTCCTATAAATTATCCCCTCGCCGCTCTTTTGCGTTCGCGCGCGAGCGCCGAGGCATTAATGTACCCGCTGATCCCACGGTGCCATTGAAATGAAATAAAAGCACCGGCGGCCGGCGAGAACGAAACGTACCGCTTTGCCCATTCCCGCCGCGATTCCGCCGCGCCGCTTCCCTTTCATTTACCGCGCAATCATTTTCCGTGAGCGCGCCCGCACCGGGCCGGCCTCGCGTTGCCAAGGAATTCTCGCCTCTGTATCTCTTCTCTGCGAGTTCCTTCTTCGATTCTTCATGATTCGTCGCGACACGTCGCGTTCAATGTGTCGCGTCTTTAACGAAGAGAGTAACGACGTTCAACTTGCGACGTAACAGCCCGGAATATTTTGTCGAAGTCGTGCGGCAAGAAAGTTCCGGATCAATTCCTGTGTCGCCTGACGATTTTAAATTACGAGAATTCGCACATCGTGATTGTCACGTCGCAACTTGAGCGAAATAGTTGTTGCGTCCTCTCACGAGTCTACCGACATCGCCAAAAGAAAACATTCGTCGCATTTGATCAGGTAAGTATCTTTTGGCGGTGGATAATAATAAATTTTATGTACTTTAAGTATCTTATATCGTCGTGTTGACAGTCGTGTTAGACTGTCCATTCGCCAAGTGTCGAAGAGTCAGGCATCGCACGACGTATGTAAACGCCGTAGCATATGCGATGCAAGACACATGCGGTTTTGCATAATCACGCGGTAAAATTCGTTCGCGATATTTCTCAGGCGTCAATGAATGTAAAAAACACGCTTCATCCGAATTTATTCCCGTTCGAAGCGGCACGCGAGAAACGGCGCACGCGTGAGCAGCCGACGCGCGGAGCACCGCCAAGGTTACGGTTAGGTCAGGTTAGAGTCGCGTCGTGCGACGAAACATGCCGCTCGATATATCCGCTCTTCTCTTCACGCCTGACGTAAATAAAAAGTCTCTCCGACAATTGGCGGGTGGACATGGGACGTGCGACGAGATCAACAAATATTTACCTGGTAAAAGACGTCCTCGCCGGGCTCGGCGCGAGTCGCCGCGAGGTTAAGCGTGAGCACACGGCAATTGTCGGCTTTCCACACGTACAGCACGTTGTCGCAAATCTCGAGGATGTTCCGTGTCTCCTTCACGTCGGTCGGCAGGCTCGTCTTGATGTCTCGGAACAAGCGTTTGTCGTTCAGTCGCAGCAGATCTGTGCACGATGATGACATGTTGCCGAGCGCAACGACGATGCGAGGTTATGTTACAAGCGCGCGCCCGGTATAACAACGAAGTTCGCCTTGTCGCCGTATTCTGCCCAGCTGCTTTTGGCGCGGCTAACTTCCCGCCGCACGGCTGCCTCCTAACACGACCGTTCGCCGTGGAGTGGCGTCGTTGTTCGGGCCGCCATATTAGCGCGACATATTTGATTCGAATGGCAGCGAGTGATCTCGCGAATAATCAGCTCCAGGTTGTCGCGGTTGACGCCGGCGGTCATGAATATTGCCAGGAGTCGTCGGGAGCGAGATATCAGGGCACTGCCTTCGGCGGAGCGCCAAGTCGCGAAATTATGCTGCTACCAGGTCGGCGAGATTGCTCCGGCATTGCAGGTTACGACGGGTAAGCTTTCATTAGATCGTCCGAATGCTTGACTCTCGTCAATGAATTTGATCTCAGTTAGCATGCGTTTCGGGGTCATTGTGGTCAAATATGTCAGAGAGGGCAAGGGCTGTTCGAGATAGCTGTTATTGGGCTCGTCCTTTGGAAAGGGAAAAGCCGGTGGGCGGGCGAAAAAGACTCGATAAGATTGCGAGAAAGAGATGGAGCATAGCATATGTTAGCCATTTCTCTTTCTCTCTCTCTCTCTCTCTCTCTCTCTCTCTCTCTCTCTCTCTCTCTCTCGCTGAAAACCGTTAACGGCGGCCATTTGGATCGAGATAGTCTCGGTGACGTCATAGCAATGCGAATGATCGTTTTATGTATTTATGCACATTATTATCGTGCCGATCGATAATTATATCGTCGATAATTACTATTTATTCTCTCTTGTCATAACGTGTTAGTCTGAGTTAACACGTTGAATATGCAGTGACACGATGCAGACAAGTGTCACTAATTTATATATTTAATTTCATTTTTAATTGTTGTTGATTATTATTGACAATATGACTCTCAGTTGAATATTTGAACAATAAATAATTATCGGTACGTGTTGATTATACTAGTAAAATATTAAAATAAGTGTCTCGATTATGTATGATGTACTCATGTAAAAGTTTAACAGGACAAAAATTTGAAGTAACTTTCTGACTCTGCTTTCCAGGCCCCGGAGGGATTCGAACCCTCGATCTCCTGTTTACTAGACAGGCGCTTTAACCAACTAAGCCACGGCGCCATTGGAGCCACGTGAATTCTCATCATTTATCAGTGAGTTCAATTCTCCATTATCACATGTCTTTATCAAACATAAGTCATGATTATTATGAGTCGATACGTGTTCCCCAATATATTGCATATCTTCTACGTATCAATATTACGTCAAATTCGTTTGACGTGATAAGTTTACTTATAATATTAAAAATTCGTTCTTACAAAAATAATACGTTGTTATAAAAAATGAATTTATGAGACTAACTTGCAAAAGATCACGCCCCCGGGTGGGCTCGAACCACCAACCTTTCGGTTAACAGCCGAACGCGCTAGCCGATTGCGCCACGGAGGCCGCTGAGATGCCCTTCTCTAGAGAATAATAGCTTGTTGTATTCTCTTTCCCTATTACATCCTGTTTACACTACTTGCTGCGAGTATACGTACACTGACCCTAGAAAACGTGCCATAGGATAGCAAATTATTTCAGTTATATTGAGATTTGAAGAGCGTGTGTGTTATCTCTGTTTTGTTGTTGTTTCTTTTTAGATAGTGAAACCGCAGTAGTGATTATTATTTGTGAATTTGCGATATCACAAAAGAGGGGGAGGGAAAGAGAAAAGAAAGCACAAATTTCATAAGTAACGTGAATCACTTAGGAAACGTCATGAATAACATTACACATTAAATTTCCTACACAATTCACTTTGCGAAATGCATACTGATTACTCCCCGTTAGAAATCTAGCTTTGATCTATATCTAAATAATGAATAATAATAAATGTTGATTTGATTGGCCTTATTCATTGCGCATTTTTTTCACAAAGGTACGAGGTAATGTACGTTGGTAAGATCTGTAAATTACTCGGTACATGCGAAGCGATTTGCAATTCATTTTCCGATAACGGCCGACGATGAATTACGCCTGGCTCTACGTCCTCTCCTCTCCTGCCCCTTTCTCAGCCCTGGTTCTAAAGTACCACCACTAACGAACGCGTTTCGTATCTATAGATCCGCGGCGTACTACGATACAAATCGAACAGATGTGTCGACGCAAGAAAGCGGTCGCGATGAAATATCGCCTCGCGTTGGAATAAATTTGTTGGTCGAAGCTGTGCGTGTCGCGGCGATAATACGCGCGTATACAATGGGAAATAGTCCGGCAGTTGCATAGAAACCATATACGGTTAATTAAATGGGGTCGGCTCATTAGTAACTGTCTATATGCAAGGCGATGGGCGAGATGCGATTGGAGGGTGGTCTCAAGATGATTTATCCGTCGCGATGGATCGCAGATGTTCGACGGGTACGCCACGCGGGTCATCACAATATTATTGTAATTAGAATGATGATTGTTCTATATACACGTGGAAGGTAAATGCGCGCCCCGTGTTCAATTGCATAATATAAGACGTAGATCGTAAAAAGTAATTGTTATTTAACATTGTCAAAGTTAAATTGGAAAAATATTTCAAGAGACCGAGAGAGAATGTTTATTATTTATTTATATTTTATTCGAGAATTGTACACTTTTGAAGACCATGAATAATAGAAACAATGAATGGAGATACGGGCGATTGTTTTAATAAATAAAATTTGAATTATTGAATGTCGAATTCCTAGCTTTCATGACAGATTTGTATTTTTTTTAATGATACAAGCAGCAAATACAAAATATTTCCGCTGCGATATTTAGACATTTGTTCAATCGCTAAAATTATTTCGAGTTTGAAATGATCGATGCAGTGTTTATTTCTGTAAAGTACACAAGCGCGTATAAGTACATCGTGTCATCACAAGATTTGCTTTCTCCTTTGGAAGGAGACCTTCTAGTTCGGCCATGTTGACACTAACAGTCTGTTTAAATTGTGCGTTTAATTACAAGTAAGAGACAGTCGCCACGAAATTTATCGGTCACTGTTACCGTCCCCTTCGTTCCTAATCTACGGAGCAGATATCTGCGCTAAACAGAGGAGAACATATCCTTTGCCTGCAATAAGACGCTTCTCGTTGCTTCTTAGTGCCTCTTCGCGGGCGAGCGATTAGATTTATCAAGCGTGTATTCGTATAATTTACTGATGTTGTTACAGTAGTTGCGTGCATCGCGACGTCGAGAGAGAATGGAACATGTAATATATCCAACATAGCTTGCAATCATCATATTTATATTTTCCTATTCAACGAAAACGAATACACACGTTATATTATGTTATTATGTAGAAATTTTATTAGGCTCATAAATCTTTATGATCAAACATTCTTCTGCGTTATCGGTATTTAAATCGGAAAAAAGAACCCAAAATTATATAGAGAACAGTTATGACGTTCGTAAATGTTGTGTACTTAAAAGAAAATCTGCTATACGTCTTTCTTTTTCGCTTCTGGACGAGATTTGTCCTTTTCTTCTCAGTCGCGTATCTTTGGCGGGCTTTTTTAATTATTAAGGACTTTCTATAACACAAGCCCGAGTATCCCGCACATATCGTTACGGTTAGAGAATACATGGATTTCGCTTCTTATTGGATAGGAATTTATGCCCATAAATCTAAGCGGTTCCCGTCGAGAGGTTGAATCTTCCTCCTGGAAGTTTACAATCCCTCGTTCTCTCTATTCTGTAACCAACATCCGCTCCCTCTCTCTTGTTCGCGTTTTCCACCCCTTCCCGGCGTGGAAAGCACAGTACTTTACAGGCCATGGTGGGTGTCTATGATGAAGGTGTGCACGTTCTAGGATACACCGGGCTTGTAACGATGTAACGGGTGAGCATTGTACCGGAATCATGATGAATTCATTGAGAGTGCGAATTAACATCCGGTCGGGAGTACGTTTCGCTAAATGCCCGGAAGAGAGAGAGAGAGAGAACGCGCGCGCGCGCGCAAAACCGGCGATCATCAATATTCCATCGCGGTAAACCAAAGTCGAGATTCAGCAAATTTTGTTTGCTCAAGAAGTCGCAGAGATTTATTAACCGTTTCGCAGCCATGAGATATTACGTTTACCCCAAATACACGCATCAATCACGGCCGCATTTTTATTTCGTCTCACATTACGTTTCTCTTCGTCAAGTATAGCTGATCTGCTCCCTTCTTGCGTGTTGTTCCTTGACAATTGCATGGTATTCAATTATCTAATCGATCGTTCGAAAGGATGAATCACGATTTAGAGCACTAACCCCGATAGGCCGTGAGTCGATATTACGACATTAGAGAGACGTTATCAGACTTGTACGTGGTTGTACAAATATGACGTTCCTTCGCGCTGTTCTTTGCTCGTTTTTCCCGTTCAATTAACTAATGGCCCGCAGGACAAAGAGCGCGATAGAACAGATCACGAACACCCGGTAGACAATACGTCTTGGCACTCGTAGGTCATTGCGGCGTTGAAAGGGAGTAACTTATAGGGGCATTGGGAATTACCAGTTTATTATTAGGGAGATAGCATAGAGGGCCAAGATCAGGGGTTGCTGTTAATTCTCCTAACACTTGGCTCCCCGGAGAGAACACGCTGCCTTAAGACTTCCACCTTCTCGACCCATCCCACCGTACGGCCGACATCTTGAATCGCTGCCGTGTTAATTAGTACGACTTTAAACGCGCCCGCATGCGGTAGCAATCGGGATTCCCCGGAATGATTTCCGTGCCACCCTCCGTACGATGTTACACTGATATTACGTAGTCTCGGTTGAAAAAATCCCGATGACCGCGATGCTCCCCCCAAGAATTCACGTTTAGTATCGCGACTCGCTTTGCAATCGCTTTGCAATTGCGTAGCTGACAAAATATACAATCGATTGTTGAGTCAAGTTGCCCGCCGAGTAAAGTGTTCAAATTTACGCGCGATAGAAGAGATTCGTACAGTCTTTGATTAAAGTCTCAGTTAATAATTTTTATTTGTCTGTCACTCTTTATTGCTTGTCACTCTTTATGTGGAGGGTCGCCGGAAACATTAAAATATCTGTGAAAGCCATGGCAGTAAAAAGAGCACGAAGCTGTACTTGACCAACCAACTAATTATTTAGCGCTTCGGACATGCCTCGATCCTGTTTGAGAAGGAGGCGATAAAATATCTTTCGCCACCCTCTTTAATTCGGATACGAAGGTGAAGAGCATTCTCGGAGGCTCGGAAAGACGAGTCGGCGGGGCTTTGACGTATGGAAGATGTCAGTTGCGGGCTGGCATGGTAGTGTCGTCGATTCGTCTTCCCTTTAGCCGCCACCTTTCGCGAATCCTTTCCGTTGCGCTATCCTTTACGTTATATAAATGGTGCCGGCGTCTGGTTGCCCCGTTCGTTGGTAAAATTTCACCGGCCTCGCCACGGGCTGCTCTATTTTCGGGGCTCTTCGATTTATCAATTGGTTCCTTCGGGTTTCTCCCGCAGATTGGATCTTCCAAATTTAGTCGACATGTCAGTGGCTAGCTGAATAGAAGTAAAACGTTCGCGCGATTATGCCTTTCGTTTTGCGTATCATAAATTTTTCTTTCCAGTTGATAAAATTATCAACTCAGGAGGTATTATGAAATATACAAATTTTTATAGACTGCGTAAGAAGCGTCTCTTCTCTACGCAAGATTGCTGTCAGTGTATTGTCAATATCTTTCATGTAAACGTGCTTCACTTGGCGGATAATTTAAAAAATTACAAGTCGAAGCATGATTCTGATGACGATAGGACTATACGCGTATAGGTTTTCACGTGCCGAAAAGCTCTCGAGGAGCAGCAAACCTTAGCTCTCCTTGGAAGGCCGTAACGAGGTCGAGCGGGCTAACTATGCCGATAAATCAGCAGCCTTAATGAAAATGTGGCGCTATCCGTTGCAAGAGCGCTGAACGAGCGGTCCTACCTCCCCGTTCGCCGTTTAAATGAAATGAAAAGAACGTGCAGCACTGGAAAATACCCTCCTAAAAATATCAAGATAAGAGCGAGTCGGCGATGAGGAGCCTTGTCCGGAATGAGAGATGGGGACGGCTCGTTTCAGCAGGAGAGAAAAACGTGCGTAATTACGAAAACGCGGTATTCCTATGAACGCCGGACGATTTCGCGTCCCTTGACAGCAGTCTAGG